GAGAGAGAGAGAGAGAGAGAGAGAGAGAGAGAGAGAGAGAGAGAGAGAATGGAGAGGAAGGGAGGAAGGGAGGAAGGGAGGGAGGGACAGAAAATACAAGAGATTCTATAACCAAACTTGCTCTCTCAGTTTCCTTACAGGTTTCGATTAAATAACTAACTAATCTCATGACACACTTATGATGGGCAATAAAGGTATCACGCAGAATATTCTTTGCAAATGCAAAGATTTACACATACATTTGTTTGGATTATTTGTTCTATTATTTGATTTCAATCTATAGTTAAGTGCCTATATTTCAGAAGCAAAGCACTGGGAAAAAAAAATCAAGATGCCCTTTGCCCTCCTCAATTTTGATAAAGCATTTAGATGATCAAAGCAAACTTGTTGTGGGACTTTGAGGTTTTTTTTTGAAGGTGTCTAAACAAGCAGACAGGTAAAAAGCAATTTTTTAATCATGAAAACTGTATTTTGTTAATTCATTTTCCAAATATTAGCACAGTCAATCTTCAATTATGCCCCAGTTTTCACAGGTGTGCCGAGAGAGATAACTATTTTTCACTGATTGGATTTTAATTGTTATTATCAACAAGAGTTTGAAATCTTCTGACAAATATTTCCATATATGAGTTTTTGAATCATTCCTGTGTAACATTCTCATGTTGAAGAAGCATTATACACCATCAGCAAAGTGATTGCCGTGATCAGTGCCTGCAACTGCACACCCTAGCAACTGTGACCCCATAAAAAACAAAAATGTATCTATTGATTGAGAAATGTAAGAAAACCTTGTGAAGTTCTGATCTCATTAATAACTTAGATATAGAAAGTATATGGACTGTTTTTTATAATTTGTTTTGAAAGATGAGTAACATCATCACCAAAAGGCTTTTATTTTTTGTAACTTTCCCCCAAAATTCATAGTATCTACTGACTCAGAATTATGATTCTTATATGTTCTTCAAATCTGTTTTCATGCCAAGTTCAGCAACATTCCAAATAGCTTCTCTGGTCACCTGAAAAGAATTGCATAGTAGTAAAACTTACAATTTTCAATACTTTAAAAGTTGTGTACATTAACACCTGACTTCAGTTATGTTCAATCATCAAGAAACCAGATAAAGAGGTAGTGATAGGAGAGAAATACTAGCCTGGATGGCCATGTCCACACCCTATATCTGTCTGCAACTCTATGTGCTATCCTGCAACTTGAATGTTTGAAGCCATTTCTCAAGACTGTGTAGTTTCAGATGTGTTATCAGGTGGTGTGTGTTTATAACAGGAGCTAATGATGAAAGGTAAAAATGTCAAAAGCAATAATTAAACAATAGTGCCTAGCATATTTAGGAAAATAGATTCAATTGATATAATTACCTCCAAATAGGAACACACAATAAAAAATAAATAATCAGAACCATTTGAACAAGCATTCACACAAACCTAATTGCTGTTCCATCCTTCCATGTAATTCGTGATATTTATATGTATATATGTTGATATAGACATTCAGATCAATACAGATACAAGCATAGATATATATTAAACAAAGACGTGATTAATTTTTAACCTAATAAACAAGATCTAAGTCCAGGTACTAAAGTGCATCTTCCAAAGAACTAGAAAATTCTATGAATATCACAAAAGTGTTTTCAAAAGTTAAATAAATAAATTTTCATATGACAGATAGCTGACCTTTGTTATTACAAGACAGGCAGTTGCTGTTTCTATATTTAATCTTCAGAATTTCCTAAAGTGCCATGAATTAATACCAATGTTTTAAGAAGTAAGAATATTGGAAAACAGAGTCTTCTAGTGACCTGTTAGAGTTCTCATGGAAACTTCCAAACCAAGTCTGCTTAACAGAAAGTCTAGCTGATGCTATTGCCTGAAGCTAAAAAAAAGGTCTTGGCTATGCAATCATTTCTTCTTTAGATGTCTTATTTGCTTCTTACATTTGTATATTTCACTTTCTTTACTTTTAATTCTAGAATAATATGATCCTAGGTAATAAAAATGTCACTCACATCTCATGTACTCCGGGATTTAGAGAAAACTGAAATCCTAACATGTAGTTTTTTCTTGATTTAGTTGATCACTACGAACGCAGATACCATGAGAGAGCAGTAAACTGCTCTACCACATTAGGAATTCCACATCAGAACTTAGCAGATGGCAGTGACTGTAACTTTCTCTTCAACAACTCCTTCTACAGCAGAGGCCAGTGTTACATTAGTACATTCCTATTAGGGAACAAGATGTGAGCAGTGTATTGGTTTGCTGTAATTGTTCCATGATTCAGCAATTGGGTTGCTTAATGAGTCCCATGCATATACCAAGTGATATAACTTTAAGAAGGGTCTAGCGTGTGGGCCATCTGTTACAATAAATCCATAGTGCCTTGAGAAATGTGTGGGTAATGCTTTTGTTGCCCCAGTTTCAGTCACTAGACTGTGATTTCACTGAAGATGAAAAGCCTAGAAAGACTGTTGGAATACCATGTGCTGAGACTTCTACTTGTTTGGGACACATTTAACAAAAATAAAATTCCCATTACTGACCAAAAAGTAATGCTTGGTTTTTTGTTATTGTTGTTGTTGTTGTTGTTTAATATATTTGGATTTTTGAATACCTCTTTAAAAAAATTATCAATTCAGATTGGCTAGAGGTGTAGGGTTAAAGTAGGAATTGCCCTATATTCTACACTCAATGTGGTACCCACTGACAATAAAATAGCATGATATCTTTGATATACATTTGAGACAGATATATAAAAAATGATGTAAGGATCTACAAAGAAGTTCAAACATGCAATGGACACAGTAAGCCACTCATGTGCTAACATCCTATGCTGTTCTTAACTTATTATTAGGCAGTGAAGTGTGCCATGGTCCCATAATCTATGCAAAGCAAAGTCTAGAACAGAAAGCGTAGCAATAACACAGCATTTCAACTTCCCTGGCAGAGATGAATAGGTTTTTGCTAAAGTGTCCTGCCGTGGCTGTAGACAGAGACATATCATAAAATCTTAAATCTATGGAATGGTTACACTTCCCTGTGGTCTGGAAGGACTTAGGTTTCTGCAATCTACACAATATGAATTGCCTTTTAGACAGTGAGTAGTCCATCTGCCCTTTAGCTTCTCACTGAAGACTTGAGCTGTGAGTCTCACACACTGATGAGAACGAAAAACAAGAACAACTTAATGAGAATGTGGCCGTCTTGAACAAGAGGAAATGGGCATTTATTCTTTGATCTCAGAGGTTCATTTCTAGGAATTTGTTAAAAAATACACAGGTAAAAGCATGTTTTTAAAGTATGCAGAAGACCAATTCCTTCAGCCATATTCGTGACTGCTAAATGCCGAGGGTTGAGACTCCCTCAACAGGAGATGCTGTCTATAAGTAGGGTATAACACATTGGCATACCACACAGCTGTGTCAAGTCACGCAGGATAAAACTTTCATAAATATTGCAAAGTGAAAATGCAAAAGTAGAGGGATTAGAAGAAAACCAACTTGAATGAGAATATTCACACCCATTTCTTTTTTAAAACGGAAGTGAAAGTCACACAACACAGAGTAGACCTGCAGAAGGGAAGATCAAGCTTCAGGTCTTCAGACGTTTTAGATGAACTGACATAGACTATGTCAAATGTATTTTGTTCAGTAGATACGACTGTGAGATATATAAATATTTGACATAATTATAAGCCAATTTAATTATTGAAAACTCTTGAACACAAACAAAGTAAAAGAGAGTTTAGGAGTATATAGCCTATCACATATCCTAATTTCAGCAACAGAACTCTCCAGAGATCCTATGAAACACAGTTTTAAAACATTTTTCTTAGCAGAATGCACCCTTTGTCAAAGCGTTATATAAACAAAGTCTCAAAGTGCTTTCCTAGTAACTGTATTGCAAAGGGTAGTATAGGTGCTATCATAGTAACATTGGAAAGGGCTTTTATGGGAGCAATAAAAATGATTATGTATTTGGATATCACTGGAACCAAATTTTCAAGTTGAAGAAAAGAATGTGTGTGTGTGCATGTACACGTGAGCACTCTCAGTTACATATATGTGTTCAAAATTAAGAAATGTTATAAAAATCACTATAATTTTAAATGAAAAATAAGATAAAGAATACATTCTAGCTGCCTGCTGGAAGGACTTGAAAATAATCAATAATCGAAGAGCCATGAGAGTCAATAAAAGTTAAGAATTTGGTCTGTGACTAGTATTTCCTATTGAAGAGAATCAGCCTTCCTTACAATTCACTCCCACTCTAGAATAAGAAATGTACAAGACAGTCTTGGATCGAATGACAGGAACTTTGTAATAAAACAGATTCACGTGGCATCAAATTGTATCGAGGATGACCAGTCAAGAATTAGGATACTTTAAGTGTTTTCCAAGATAGTCTATATGGAATATACTCTAATGTGTAGCTGTATCAACTCATGAATTTATAGTTCTAGCAAACAAGAGTCACAGATTATTCTTGATGACTCATACAAAAGCCAGCTTACTTTGAATACTGGTGAAAAACTTCAACCATTAATATTTCCTTTTTTTAAAAAAAGCCAGAAGTATGCCTCTATTCATCAAGGATAAACCAAGACAGTATTATGCTTACTTTCATTCCAAGAGTCATTAAACTCTTGGTACATAGACAATCAGACAAAATACTAAAACAAGGGCTAAACCGTGCTGCTTCCTCAA